CAGGTATCAACCACGTGCTCCATCTGCAGGTACAGCGCTGTGGCCATCACGGCCATGATATTGTTCTCCCTCAAGTTCAGGCGGGATGTATACATGAAGTCCAAGAGGATGCAAAACCCCTCAGGGTTAATTTCAGGGTGCAGGTTGATGACATTCAAGTTGCACTTGAGCTGGTCAGTGAAGATGCTGTAGAAGAGGCCACTGCAGAGAGGAGACAGGAGATAAGACAAGTGTTATGAAAATCGAGAGGAAGAAAGGAACATTTGTTTGAAATGTCTTTGCACAGAGGGGTTTGTGAATGGGAAGGGAGGAGGAGCAATTACAGAATTCCCTGAGCTTCCCCCTTATTATCAAGCTTGGTTTCTCAGCTTAGTAAGCGTCTTCTGCACTGCACTTTTCCCAACTGGAACAGCCTGCTTTTAGATCTCACCTGCTCAACAACTCCCCACTGCCTCCATTTAGAAATTCCCCTGCTTTTTTTTTGGTTGTTGTTGTTCTTACCACCACCCCCTTCCCACTGTGACTCATTTCTTTCGGAAGCCTCTTGGGGCATCCATGCTCACTCTTTAACCAAGGAGGGGAAAAAAAAAAGGAAATGTTGGCAAAACATTTTTCAGATGTCTTAACAGTCAAACCTTGGCTTTTTCAAATCTTTATACCTTGTCAGCAGGAGACCCTGGAAGGCATCTGCTGTAATTCAACTGGGCAATGGTGGGATATTAATTAGCATTCATTAGGAAGCAATTCCAGCAATCCTAGGAGCTGGAAAGGGTCTTCAGACCCCACCAGGCTTGAAAAAAAATTAACAAAGGTGGGTGCAACCAGCAGCCTGGGAGTCAGAAAGGAATAGTTCTAAAAATAGCAGCGGCAGGGGACACTGCAGTCACAGAGAACTCGCTCACCCCCGCGAGCATCCTGTCCTCCCTCCCCTCTCCTGTCCCTGCAGAGCGTTTGTGTTTTGCCCTCAGGGATGTGCCTCACATCTGTTGTGCTCCTGCTTGTCTCCATGGGCTTCATGTGAGCAGATGTGGGCACGCAAGGAAGAGAAAGGTGTGGGTATCGCACTGGAGGCGAAAGGTCTCAGCTCTAATCTCACTGCAGGTACAAACCTCTTGGTAGCTCCTTTCAGTTCTGCTTCTCTGCCTCTGTTTCCCTGTCTGTAAACCCCATGAGCCACCCCAGGGCTACATCAGTGTTGCTGGCGGCCAAAGGCAGAGGGAGCAAGGAAGGGAGGCAGGGAGGGGACCCTGCTCTCACCTGCAGGCCATCAGGACTGTTTTGTGGGCTCTGAACTGCTCTCGGTTCACGATGATGACGACATCGGTCAGAATATCCCGGCTTCTCAGGCGGTTGAGATTGAGGAGGACATCGCTTGCATGGCGGGTGAACTGGATGCAGCTGTCTGCTGGCGAGGCCATCTTGAGTCTGTTGGAAACAGAAGCAGGAGGAGGATGGGAATGGAGAAGTGGTCAGGTGAGTACCCTAAACCCAGCGAAGAGACAGCTGCTGCTCTGGGATGTGCTCAGCTACCGCTGGTAGGGACAGCACCAGCTCCTCAGTCTCAAGACAAACAGTGCTGCACCATGTCAATCTCCTGCCAGGCTGCCCAGTGAGGTCTCTTGGCCAGCAGCAAGACCTGGCACGTCTCAGTCCCACCCAGCAAGCTGGCGGGCAAAGGTGACCTGTCCCTCCTGAGGATTAGCTAACCGTCTCCTCTTTCTCCCTGCCTCACCCATAGCAGCTCCACCCCAGCCCACTCCTCTCACCACCACCTGAGTTCATCTCCATGAATCTCCCAACACAGCTTCCCAACCTCCAGATCTTCCTCAGGAGCCATCCCCCAGATCCATCTGCTAGCTGGCTGCAAATCCAGACATGGGAATCAAAGCAATCCTTGAAGGTCCAAGCTGAGGACTTAAACATCTGGAAAATCCAGCCCAGAGTGGAGCACCCTCACCCTCACAGAAAACGACTTTCCTGCTCCCAAGTGGTGGCGAAGACCTGGAGAAGACCTGTCCACAGTTTCCCAATTAATCGGTAGAGGGAGTGAGGAGCAGAACCCATCTAACCTGCTGGGCTGCTACCCACACCACAGTCCAGTCTCTCCCAGTAAGCAAGGCTTGGGGTTAGTTGAGGAACATGAAGCCTTCCCCCTAACACAACACCCGCTGACCCATCTCAGGGATGCCCTCCCAACCAGCGCCCAGGAGAGCCCACATCTCCCTGTGCCTGAAGTTTGGGCTGGAACCTGCATCTTCAGCATCAAATTTCTCCACGATCAACCCCTTCCCACAACCCTGACTCCTCCTCCTCCTTCCCCAGCAGCATATGAACATACAGTATTTTCTACAGAGCAGCTGCTCTCCTGAAAACAAATTCCAGCTGGGTCTAATGAAACATTTCATTCAACATGGTAAAGGGAAGGCAGGGGGTTAGAAGGGGAAGCACAAAATTTAAATTTACATACCCAATGCCTCAATTCACAGTCCAAAAGTTTCTTTCAAACCTACAAATAAAGCACAAGAAAACAAACGCCACATTAGCCAGTAATTATGAATTGGCCGTGGCAGGACACAAGCCTGCCTTTTCGCTCGAGTATCAGTTGGATAAAAGCTAGAGATAACAAACCTTCTACTCTCCAGTAAGGTTAACATTTGTTTCTTCCGGTACAGTACGTACTTATCACAACTACAGGCTTTGAGAATCCAATCATAGCTTCTTCCACACCCTCTAGCCCAAACCATGGGCGTATGCCAAGGAGATTTTCATTTCCATGACTCAGGAACTTAAAGGCAGGTGGGGAAGGGAAGTCAAGCGAGAATTTTCTCACCACTTCTTTTGGAGCTAACTCTTCCCCTGCCAAGATCAAATTCCCGGCCAGTGCCACATCCAAGACCAATGCCATATTCCCAGCACCTTGTTAACAGGTATGACTTACACACAAACATCTGCTGACGCTCTGCTCAGAAACCTGGAAAGAGCCTGAAGCCAGTCCTCCAAAACAGCTAGCCCTTCTCAGAATACCCACACGCTCCAGACACTGGTGAAAACACCCTGGGACGGGACTGCCAGACAGACTTGTGAGGATATGGGCGTCAAGTACCAAAGTGACTTGGCCAGGATCACAGAGGAAACCAGTGGCGGAGACGGATGAGGACCCAGAATAAATGCCTTCCTCTGGCTGCTGGAAAAGACTTCCCCCAAGCTGCAAGCTTTGTCTCCAGCCACTGGCTTCATGGGCAACACAGATGGGACAGCATGGCAAGGGAACTCAGGAGTTAACTGCCTTCCAGAATTCACACCGTTACTCCCAAATTTACGTAAAATCAACAAAGACAATTGACCTGGCACCAACGCAGGAAGAAGGTCCTCAGAAAGCTGCCCCAGCAGGGAGAAGCACAATAAATAAGTGAACCAACAAACCTCAAGACCTTCATCACACTATTTTGAGGGCCAACCCCCAAAAACTGGATGGAGGCAGTAAGACTGCCAGCACTGGCAGAGAGCCCATCCAGCCCCGTGAGGACAAGCATCTCCTTCCCTTGCGGAAGATGTGCACATCTGGAGCCCAAGCTCCGCTCACATTCCTGGAGACACCAGTGTGGGATGAAGAGGTGAGATCTAAGGCAAAGTAACACACACAAAACCCAGGGGGGTGTCTTATAGCCCTATTCCAGTCATCAAACGCAAAACTTCAGAGCTGCTCTGAGCCTGGCGAGCTTAAAACTTTACGCACACACACAAAGTGACTCATTTCCCAAATACTGCAGACTCTGACCTTTCTGTACACGCTTGCTGCCAGCCGCTCGCTACCACCAATCGCAAGCCAAGGGACTCGTGGTGCTCTGCAAGGATCTGTGCATCCATAGGAACAGACGTATGCATTTGGGGCAGCCGGCTGGCATCCTGACCTCGGCCGCACCAGCAGATGCGTCCCACCGGGGACTCACCCTGGTGTCACAGACATGGGGAGGTGACCCATCCATAAACCAACAAAGCTACGAACTCTGTGCCTGTAATCGCAAGCCAAGGGACTCGTGGTGCTCTGCAAGGATCTGTGCATCCATAGGAACAGACGTATGCATTTGGGGCAGCCGGCTGGCATCCTGACCTCGGCCGCACCAGCAGATGCGTCCCACCGGGGACTCACCCTGGTGTCACAGACATGGGGAGGTGACCCATCCATAAACCAACAAAGCTACGAACTCTGTGCCTGTCAGCGAGCATCACGTGAGAAGCTGCTGCTGTCGCCAAATTCCCTCACCCACAGCCAGGCCACAGCGCTGCCCGGCCAGGGGGACACCAGCTCCTCTCCCAGAGCCAGACCCCTGCACAGCCCCCTCCTGAATGATCCCTCCCAGCACCATGCTGCTGCAATGCCCCTGGCCCTGGGAGCCGGGCAGGTGCATCCCAAGCAGCTCCCGCTGCAGGATGTGGGCAACGAAAGGGAAAGGGACCTTCCTTCCCCTCGATGTGCTGAGCTGGGTTAACCCTGCCCTGCCCAACCTCTG